ATATGGCGTGCTTTCTTCTCTTTGCCTTCGGGTGTGCTCTCAAAGCGACGGCCACATGTGGCGCAGATGTTGGGCTTGGCTTCGTAAAGGCGGGAGATGAGGTGAAGACGAGGCTTCTTCATTGATGCCGTGGTGAGCTCGATCTGTTCCATCAAGCTACCCGGCGCAAGTGGTTGTTGCGTGGTCGGCTGGGATTGAATCGGCGTTGGGTTTGCAGGTATACCACCAGGTACACCACCCAGAGCTTTCAGAAGCCACTCGGCGGATCCAAGGGCTGGAGCCGCAGCTACAGGTTGTGGTGGTAACTGAGCAACGGGAGTGCTCTGTACAGGCGTGGGTGGCATTGAGGGCGGCACGGCACCAGGTTTGCTGAACTGCGCAAGCAGAGCAGCGAGATTGGCAGTGGGTGTCGCGGACTGACTGGGCGGTTGAACCTGAGGTGCCGGTACTGGAGTCGAGACTGGGGGAGGGAAGCCTTGGAATGGCATCTGAAAGGGGGCTGGGGCAGGTACTGAGTTTGGTTGTGCTGGGGAAGATACACGTTTGAGTAGCTCTGCCAAGTTCAGGGCAGGTGGATTCGGGGTTGGTGCGGGTTGCGGAGTCGACTGTGGTGGTGGTCGAAAGCCTGCCAAAAGTTGCGCGACATTCGGCGGAGCGCTGCTCGGGGGTGCACCCATCGGAGAAAAGTTAGGCGGATAGCCTTGGGGCATTGCCTGTTGTGGTGGGTACACTGGCGTAGAAGGAGCAAAGGTTGGTGTTGGTGCTGGTGGAGGTGCTAATGCTCGGACCTGCTGACGTACAGCCTCTAGTTGTTGAGGAGGCAGCGTCTGTGTGTCCAGGATCTGCTTGAGGGACAGGAGTGCCGATAGTTTTGTACGCAAAGCAGCATCAGCTGGGTTGTGCGCGAACATGTTCTGTGTTGTGCTAATAAGCTGTGTCAATTCCACCTTCAAGTCGGCAAGATCCACCGATGACATGGGCTGAGCATGCGGCTGATGCTGCTGGTATACAGGTGGTGTGGATGCGTGTGATGGTGAATATTGAGGTGTCGGGGGTTGTGACTGGAAGGTTTGTTAGCGAAAATGTCTGAAACTTATATGGAAAACCTACCGGTCGAGCACGCGGATCATTGGGAGCGGCGTACCGTGGTCCAGTTTGCGGCGGTGTGGATGTACCTCTCCAGGCGACATTGAGTGACGGAGGACGAGGAGGGAGCGCGTGTTGCGGCCGAATTTGTTGCTGAGCTGCGCGGAATTTAGCCAGTGCATTCTCGATGTCCTGTGTCACGTCGGCTTGAAACACAGGGCGAGGGTCCATCGACTCGGGCACAGGCATCTTCCACGTCCTCAGCAAGCCTTCCATATTCTTGCGTGTGTTTTGATCCATCACGAGATAGGCGTCCATGAAAGTTCTGTAAAGGTTGCGACCAATGTAGACCGTGTATGGCGTGCCAACATTCTTAACAATCGAGTCAAGGACGTAGAGGGCTGGAAGCTTCCATTCGGGGCGAGTCTATGCCATGTCAGTCACCGGTGGATAAAGTAAGTTTGAACTGAAGATAGAGTTGTTAGTCTACACGCGTCCAGGACGTACCGATTGGATATGCTTCTGGAGCTCGTTGGATATGGCTTCCGCATACTCTGTGTTTTCTTTGGCGATGAGGGTTAGATTGCTAATCTCAGGTCTGCTGTTCATCCTCAAATCTTGCAGGGCATCCCGAAAGTCGGCAGCCACTTCAGCAGCTGACACAGACATGATGGGCAAGAAGTTCTGGGGTTAGACAAGAGGGGATGTGTGCTGTGTTAGAAGACGTGAAACTTGCGCGCAAAGGGCAGGGTGAGCGGCTGACTCCGCGGTCGGGGAGTCGCAACGCTGACGATGTCGATGCCAGATGAACAAGATAGACGATATGCTTCCTCGCTCTCGACGAACACACGTAATGACAGTGCTTGTGTTGGATACTAGCTATGGCCGCGCCAAATGACGCAGTGTGAAGACTGCGCCGGTACAGCTAGGCAGTAACAAACTCGCTCTCCTCCAGCTACTGCAATCCTCCTTCTGTATGTATGCCCTTCCTCCTTCAAGCCAACAATGAGGCGGTGATGCGCGACTGCGGAAGTGTCGCAATAAAGACCCAAAGTGACTCAGGTGCTGCGACGACGGCGAAGCCTAGTTGGGTGTCGTCTAGGATGAGGCTCGTCAGTTGAGAAGCTGACAAACAGCGTCGAGCAGACTCTGTGAGACGTCGTCGGGGGTGTCGTGATGGTGGGGGCCTGAAGTTGGTGATCAGGTGAGTGAGTTGTAGAACAATGGTGGAGGAGCGGCTGCGGTCTTTGACAATCGCGAACTAGCCGCGCCTCCGTTCCATGGTTGCCAAGCCCCGGCCTCGGCGAATAGTATCACCGCGTGTCATGGCCGTCGCGCTCCCTTGAACTTTCCTTGACATCTCTCGGTCGACGTTCGCGCCTGGTCCACCTTTACCGCGACAAGTCACTGTTAATCGATCTCGCATCCTCCGCGCCTTCTCACGGATACCCCGATTTCGACGAACCAGGCCCAAACAGCCAGCATGGAAGACGTTGAGTTCAACCGATCGCATTCGAGGTCGCCGTTACCAGCGGCTGGCAACGACCCAGCTGATCCGCTGCGCCCCGAAATCGACGAGGAGAATGCTACCCCGAACCCCCCTATCGGTGATCCAGATCAAGATATGGAGGTGACAGAGGACCGGCCCGGCGAGATGCCTGACCAGGACGACATCGAGGCTGGCTTGTCAGACAACGAGTCGGTGCTTTCTGAGGCGCTAGACGATGACCAAATGGACGAGCAGTTTGGCGATTTCGATATCAACAATGTTGCTATTGACGAGCGCCCGGCGCAAGCGATCGACGAAGACAATGTCAAGCAGATTGGTGTACACAAGCGAAAGCGCACTGCTGCTGAGGGTGAAGAGCCAAAGAAGAAGAAAAAGAGGGCTGAAAAGCCTCGCCGCAAGAAGAACAAGGATGGCGACGATGACGGTGATATTGCAGAGGGTGACAGGCGAAGCAAGCGGTCCAAGAAGGCAGGCAGGGTCCGAGCCGCAAGCCCAGAGGGCGATCCAGACGAGCATCTCACTCCGGAAGAGCGTACGTATGACCATACCTAGACCCTCATATTTACTAACTGTGACTTTAGGACGAAAGAAGCAGCTTAATGCCCAAATCGACAGCATCGTCAGCACCAGCTCGAATCGCCGCCGCAAGAAGGATGGCATTGACCTTGAACAAATGGCCGACCAAGAGATTGAGGAGATGCGCCGCCGTATGGCAGCTGCCGCCGAAGCCGACAACGAAGGTCGAAAGCGCAACGAGCCTGCACGACACAAGCTCAAACTTCTGCCAGAAGTCACCGCTCTCCTGAACAAGAACACACTCAGAGATACTATTGTGGACCCCGAAGTGAACCTTCTCGAATCGGTGCGCTTCTTCTTGGAGCCCCTAAGCGACGGTAGTCTTCCCGCGTACGACATTCAGAAGGATCTCATGGCCTCATTAGCCAAGTTGCCCGTCAACAAGGACACGCTTGTCGCATCTGGCATCGGCAAGGTCATCATGTTCTACATCAAGAGCAAGAAGCCTGAGTTGACCATCAAGCGACAAGCCGAGCGCCTCTTCACAGACTGGACGCGTCCCATCCTTAGGCGGACAGACGACTACCGCAAGAAGGAGTTTGCCCAGGCCGACTACGACCCGAGGTATGTACTGCGCCTTCATATTTCGCTATATATGCTAACAACCCTAGCCAAATCAAGACTACCGACAGGTCCGCTGCCAGCAGCCAAGCTGCCGCCTACGCAGCCAACCGAAAGAAGCAGCTCGAAGCCCCCAAGGCATTCCAGCGTGCCCGCATGGAGTCTGGTCCCACTACGTATACCATTGCGCCCAAGAGCAACGTTGTGTTCAACGAGAACGCACGCAGTCGTTCGAGCAACGTGGATATCATGAAGCAAATCAGGGGTGGTCGCAGCGGAGGTAGACGCTGAGCTGGGTCTCACGACGCCATCCACATGCGGTTTGCGTTTTCTTTTCTGTTCGACTTTAAACAAGGTCATTGATCCGCTGCTCTGGACGTCACATTGGTACTCTGATATACTCTTGGGGTCTACGCATGGTAAAATTGCATAGCGGGCGTTACTTGCAGCTTCAGAGTTGGTGTGTGGGTTAGCCAGCTTTCTTGTACACTATCGAATGCAGTATTTTTCTTCTGAACGTAACCTGAATGCTGTCATTCCTTGCGTTGACCTAGTACATGCCCATCACGTATACTGACCAAGGTTGTGTTGATAATTCGAAGTGAGTATGATGTACCTTGACTACGACGTTCCCTTAGAGGCTAAAGATGTAATAAGAGACACTGTCTATGCTCAGGAAGACGCTCTCTGACCTGATGTGGCTTCATAACAGTCCTGCGCTGGAACCTCGATCTTCGAACCCCGCCAAAGAGAAAGATTTTGGCCCTCTAGCAAAACGCAAAAAAAATGCTTCTATCACTCTTGCGCCATGTTCTACAGTCTGCAGAGAGCAAAAAGAAGGTGATATTCCGACACCGGGAATCTGAATTGTTGTTAGAGGAGATCGAACTGAGGGGTAATCGCAGAAGCTTACCGAACCCGGGCCTTGCCGGCACTGAACAGTGAACTGACTCTGCAGATGAGAGCGGCAAATCCTAGCCACTAGACCATATCGGACGTTGATTGGATGAGAAGATGAGGAATTGGTGTGAATATGAAGTTTGGAAAAGATTGGTCATGTGGTGGTGGAGTTAAGGGGTGGAAAAATTTGTATACAGGAAAAGCCCCACTAAGTACAATCCAAAAGGCGAAATTTATACTCCGACCATCCACAAGGCAGCGGCAAAGAGCACATGATGTACCGAACTTGTGGTTGAGATGGTACCGTGGTTGCTGTTGAAAAACCAAAAAAATCGACCGAACCAGAGGACACTTGATACAATCTAATCTACAACGAAATATCTAGATCGAGACCCAGACTACCGATTCTGAACACGTTGACGGTGTCTGCAAAGGTACTGTTGTTGTCCTTGTTGTCCGCCAACTCTACGCCGTCGCGCGTGATAACCTCAGTGCTACCCACAGTGTTCACGTTGTAGAGATTGATGTCATACGTGTTGCGGCCCCCTTCAATCGACAGAATGGTCGACTGGCACTTCTCGTCTTCGGTAACCCGCGAGCAGTTCGTCGAGTAGTTGTTGAAGAAAGAGTACAGGCCTATTCCGTAGCCGAGAATGTTGTTGCTGCGGAGGATGCGCAGACCCCAACCGGATGCTGTGCTGGTGGATGTAGAGTTCGTTCCATTCAGAGGCTTGTGTGTGAAGACTGGGTCAGACAGCGCTGGGTTGTTTGGGAAAGGGAGAGTGGCATCGGGGTTGGGCTGGTAGTAGGCTGTCTCCGTTTGGATCTGGCCCATGAAGACGTTCTTTGTGTCGACGAATTGATATTCGTAGAGAACGTGGTGCTCGACTGCGGTGCCGGTCCTGTGATAGCATTAGTGACTGTTGGCGAAACTACAAAGGTTGGAAAACTCACAGCCATATCCTCCCGTTGATACTCTCAACCAGCAGACCACGGCCAGCATAGAGCGTGAGCTGGCCGTCGCCGTCGAGGTCATGGTCAGAAGTCCACAGCCAGTTGTTCTCCATGTACAGGCCTGCACTGAACTTGGTGAGATGCATAGTCATGTAGGATACAATGCATTCCTCCTTCAGATTCGCGGCAGTGGTCGTAATGTTAGGCGTTGTTCCACACTGCTTGACTTGCTGGTCTGATCCCACGAATCCTCCGATACGCGCATGCACATCCCAAAGACCAGCAGGCTCGTCGGTATAGGTACCAAGATTGTACTCAATCAGAATGGCACCAGCCTGCGCGCCCTTTGTGCTGACGAAGAGATCGGACAACTCCACTCGGCCCTGTTCGCCTGGTCGGGCGATTTGGACGACTGGCTTGGGGTTGGCCATGTCGTTGAAGTAGGCGCCGGAGGAAAGAATCACAGAGGCAAGGGCTTCTCCAATGATGGTGGCACCGGGTGGGATGTAAATTGTAGAGGTGACCAAATAGTAGCCGGCGTCGATGAAGAGGATCTTTCCCTCGGCGTTGGCTTGGAGGATCGCGGCGTTGAGAGCATCGGTGTCGTCGGTTCGACCGTCTCCAGTGGCACCAAGATCACGAGCGCTGAGGAACTGCGACAGTGGGACATCGCCATACTGAGGCTTCGAGCGCTCGTAGTATTTGCCATCCGCACCCAACAGTTCTGTTGGGCGCTTGGTTGGGTCAATAGCGCCGCGCACCTCTACGGGACCTTGAGGCAGATATCGGTGACCATCAGCCCAAGCTTCGATAGTCGAAGCACCAGAAGATCCTGCTAGGTACGTTCCGTTGGGTCCAGCTACAGCCGTACGGACATTGTCGAGTTTGATGTTCTCCAAGTAAAGGGATCCGGCAGCAGCAGGCTCGGAGTTCTTGGTCCTGGAGGTAACGATACCAATCGGGGTGTTTGTGATCTCGCTGTCAAAGAAGGTGATTGACCCCACATTGACTGCAGAAGGACCACCGTTGGTCATATTGAGTCCAACCTGGCAGTTGTTGATAGAGACAGACTTGTACGTCCAGCCCCAATCCCAGAGCTGCTCGATAGCGGTGGTGACATGGTTGAACGTGATGTTGCGAGTGGTGAATTGCTGGTTTCCGACGATGAATCCCTTGTTTCCACCGTTGAAGACGAGATCTGTCATGAAACCACCGGATCCCGCTTCAACGAAGAGACCCTGGTGTTGCGTTCCGTTTTCGGCATTCATGTTGAAAATCACGTTCTGGATACTCGTCGCCTGTGCAGTTGGCCAATGGATTCCGGTGGGTGAATCCTTAGCCGACATTTTTGTTGTGTCAATGATGAGGTTCCGAATCTGGCGGAAGAAGGTGACCGTAGGACCGAAACCAAGTCCATTGTCGCCGTATAGAGAGCCGTCGATCAGGCCGAAACTTGAGCCGGAGAAGTTGGACGCAGCCTGGATGGTAGGAAGACAGTTTGGGTTTCCGATGATCTTTAATGAGTCAGTCGCAACGTTCCACACCTTTCACAAAAGTGCCCGATCCCAAGTAAAATCCGACATGTTGCATGTACCCTACAAGTATGCACCACATCTTCATCTGTATGTAGATGAGTCAAAAGTCAGTGTAACTTCTAGGGTACGCTTCCTTTTTTTACTTGGCTGACTTTGGTGATCCCATCTTGATTGCACTAGAGGTGTTCATACCTGAGTATAGTAATAGTCGATGATAGCACTCGAGATCTTGTATGTACCACCTGGAAAGTACACAACAGCAGGCTGATTAGTAGAACTCCCGCAAGTTCCAGGCGCACATCTGCCACCATATGAGATCGCTCTCTGGATAGCGGCAGTATCATCATGGACTCCATCGCCGACTGCGCCAAAAGACTTGACATTCCGGAAGACGGTGTAGTTGCCAGGGTTCGGATTGTAGCTAGCAATGCCCTGGTGTTTGATACTTTCCATCCAGTATGGAGCACATGACGTATCCTGATCTATAGATTGGCGAGGTCTTGCGTGGGGATGGGCGTGGCGGGGCGCGAAGTGTAGGTTGGAGGATCCATGGACATAGCCGTTGTTGGAAGGAGCGGACAGCGCGATTGCGCAAGAAGAGTACAATGCCAACACAACGGAAGATGCGGAAAGCAACATCTTCGATAGAGAACGTAAAGAGCGACGGGAAAGTGAACGACAGAAGTTGAAGGCCGTCAGATTTCCGAAAGATCACATATTAATACAGCACAAGTAGGGGCGGATCTTTTGTCGCCCCTGTCATCATTTGGGGTCGTTGTAGGGCCGATCGACCGCGACTACATCCGGCGATCAGCCATGCGTATTTGCTTCGCTGATTGGGCACACAGGCTGCGCGGTGCATTGCTGTTCGGGCTCGGATCGGAATCTGTGGCGTTCTTGTTGACGGCGTGTTTAGAAGATCTGAAACATTTAGTTCACCGGTTCGCAACGGATCATTGCAGCGCCAGCTAGCCCAATGTTAGCTTTCGCAATCAAACCATATACCAATTCCGGAGTCCTGGATGGGGGCGACACAGATTGTACGACCTGCACGTTGGGCGCATGATGCCTCCACGGACTGCGGGCACGCGGGTGCATTGTTGAGTCTCGGCCTCCTGCGTTAGCCTCGCAATGAATGGAAAACCACCACTTCATCTGAGGCAACGCTAACCGCATAGCTACATATCGGGAGAACAAGTACATACGTTAGAAGCCTACATTGTTCTTAGAAGTTGTAATCTGCAAGTTATATGCTGTTGTAGGCCGCTGAATATACTCGCACCTGCCTGTTCGTTCTACATATCTCGCCCCCAGATTTCGGCAGGTGGACGTGCTTGCGGGTTTATTCCCGGTAATTCGACATCACCGCGCCACGAGCTTCACTGACCTGGTTCCGTGCCCTGTGTAAGTTCAAGACAGGGGCACCTTATACGAGGGAAAACCGAACACCCTGGAGTCTACATCAAAATGAAAACATGCAATATAGGTGATCCAACGTCAACCTAGGCTCTAGGGTGTTCAGTTTTCACTTGTATAAGGTGGGGGCGAATGCACATGGATATATGCAACGAGATCCCATAGGAAGGAGCATGTTGCCAGAAATGACAGCATGTGGAAATGACAGAATTGGGGGTTGAAGAAGGAAATGCGCCTTTGATTCAGCCTGGGGCCTGGTCTCGGTTTGGGCTGGTCATCGAAGTATTGGAGGTTGCCAGATTGGGAGGTTGAAGTTGGGATTGATAGAATTCGTGTCAGCTCCAAAGAAAATATGTCAAGGGTATGCGGATTGATGAGTGAACAGCATGTCCGCTCAAGTGTACATCGGTCCGTTTTGCTGTACAGGACAGCTTGTTCGTACAGGAAATCAAACATGCTCGACCTGCCAGTCGGGGTGAGGAGGAATTGAAATCCCCGAAGATTGATAATCAGGTCCGAGTGAAAGACGTTCAATCTTCGAGCAAGCAGTTTGCTTGTCATGCATAGATTGAGGGACAGAAAACTTGATGAACTGCTGTCGGTCGCCCTGCGTGAAAGAGAGTCCTGCCATGCTGAACCAGACAGTCAAAAAAGAGGGTTCAAAGTAATCTCTGCTATTCATGCTGGAGAGAAAGGGCGAGCAGAACGAGCGACCTCGGGACCAGCCTTGCAATGAGGGCGCGCGCAACCACGTGACCGACCGCATCGGCAATATCGCAGCCCAAACGCCGACAATCCAAACTTTTGCGTATCCAAGTGCACCGTAAACGTCATCTTCGAGATACCCAACTTACATACCGCCTGTCGCTTTACAGCCCCTTCTATAGCCTCACCCCACACCTCATACAAGACACCGCCAGAATGTTCGGAGGTAACTTTTGCCAGGGCTTGCCGCATTCAAGACAACGAGGCTGACGTGCATGACAGCACCACCACAACCATCCAAGCAGGAGCTTGCCGCGGCCGAAGCACAGACTATGACCGATATCAAGTGGACGGCAGCCAGCGCTGTCGTGCTGTACTTCTGTAAGGATGATCTGGGACTACATGGTGGTTGGATGGAGACTAACAGCCTACAGCACCTCATCTCGTCGAATACGTCTCGAAACTCTTCTAAGCAGCGACTGCTCCCGCGATTACGAGCTCGTCCGCAAAATCTAAAGCGCTGGACATGAACAGGTGTACGCACAGACGGAGTGAAGGAATGAAGCAATATACCAACGAACTACTGTACAACATACTCGCATGGCCTAGGGAATACATGCGCTTGTAACATTACTGGTTAAACGGACACAAATACCCTTACAGTATACGGGGATCGACGCATACGTCTGGAAGCAAAGAGAACCCACCAAACGCCATCTGAAATGTGCGCAATGATGAGACGATGAATATTATGCAACGCTTGATTGTACGACTTCTATGCATCCGTCCGCTGCTGCATGGTATCTCGCAACGCCCAACTTTTCGCAATATAACCTCTACATCACCTATGAATCGTACATGACAAATGCGCCCTCGTATTATGCTCTTATCGCTTTGCCGGCCTTGACTGCTTTGCAGTCTCCCACTCGTCATATTCGTCTCTGGTGTCGTCGACCCACTTCTTGAGGTGCTCGAGTTGTCGGTCGTAGTCTTTGAGGAGCTAAGATACGGTGTAAGTATGCGTGAGGGATCATGAGATGGGCTTCTTACCTTCTCCAATGCCTTCTGGTCTTCATCTGTGAGAAGTTCACCATTTTGCTGTTGGTCGATCGTCTTGCCCAGCTTCTCAGTCTCCTCTTGTAGGATGCGCGCCCGCTCTCGCACACCGGACATGCGCGCCCAGATCTCTTCTTGTCGCCCGCCAAGTACAGGATCAAAGGTTTGCTTCTCCAACTCGATGAGCTTCTTCTTCAACTCCTCCTCTGGCTGATCCATAACGTATCCCCGGTTTCGCAGAATCTGGACCTTAGTTGCAAGGGCCAGTGTCCGCTGAGTGAAGACGACGTGCTTGCGCTTAGCTTCGGTGATGCGCGATGCTACCGTCAGCTCATGGGCGTCTTTGAGAAGCGACAGTGCATTGTTGATCTCGTGCAGGCGGGTCCGTAGCGCGGTGACAGCAGCTGCTTGTTGTTTGATGCGTTCTCCAACTTGCTCAAAGCCACGCGCAAGCACGGGAATAGCACCTGGACTTGGCTTCTTGGACAAAGCCTCCTCCCATTTCCGTTCGTCTTCACCCTGCGAGGGGCCGTAGAAGGGCGCTTCTTCAGGCTTGACCGAGTTGTAGAAGTAGTATTGGAAGACGCATTCGGGGCTGCTGGGGTCCCACTTGTTATTCAGGATCCGTATCTGCTCAATGACCGACTTCTCTCCTGGCAAGTGTTAGCGCGACTTCAGCGGTGATTTCGAGGTGCCGTACTGTGACCGTTCATGGTATTAGCAGCGAAAGGTTGCGCGGAGGACTGGCGCAACTGCGGAAGCCCTTCGCGCTGTTGTTGGATGCTTTGCGCCTGAATGTTGTTCAGGACGGGCGCAGGCTGCAACGAGGCGCCGAAGAGGCTGTTGCTCATATTTGGCTGTTGTTGCTGCCCCTGCTGCTGCTGCTGTTGCTGTTGCTGCTGAGGCTGGCCAAACAGACTTGAGCCGGCATTTTGTTGTTGCTGTTGAGGTTGTCCGAAGAGGCTTGAGCCTGCATTCTGCTGCTGCTGTTGGGGCTGGCCGAACAAGCTCGATCCCGAGTTCTGCTGCTGTTGCTGCGGCTGTGTCGAGCCAAACAGGCTATTGGTGTTGTTCTGTTGAGGGGCGGTCGATGAGCCGAAGAGGCTGGACTGTGTCGCGTTCGACTGCTGCGGCTGTTGCTGCTGCGATTGACCGAAAAGACCGCCAGCTGGTGCTGTGGTGCTTCCAAACAGAGTGCCCGTCTTCTTTTCTCCACCTGCCGGGTTTCCAAAGCTGAAAGACATGTTGAATAGAAGTCGTAGTATGCGCGTGTCCTTCTGGGCAGATTCGATAGTGATTCGAACGAGTGACGTTATTCAGGTCGCGGATGGAGGAGCTTCCAATGTTTGTTTTCGGTCGCGCGCAGGCACGCGAAGGAGGCGATCGCTGAAAGTCGCTACGGGTATAATTTACAAAAACAATCAATCGGTGCGCATCCTGGTTGATGAGAAGCAGGAGAGGCGTGTAAAGGCGCGGTGGAGGTGCAGATGGAGCAGTGAGAGATTGTTGTCTCTCACTCACAAAGGTCAGGCACAAGCGCGGCCCATCGCATCCCTGCCAGTTTTAGTGAGCGCCAAGACCGACTTCCGCGACGACCTCACGAGCATCATCTCCAATTCGTGAGCCGATAGCCCGCCATTGGCACCTCACCCTCAAGATGTCGTCGCGCCAGCCCAGGTAAGCGCTCTCTGCCAACCTCATAGCGCTCACATATGCTGACTAAATGGCAGGTTCAACCAGCAAGCCCTCATCGACACCACCCCTCTACCCGACGACATCCCCAAGGTCAAGGAGCTCGGAGCCAGTTCTGCGCCCCTCCTCAGTGCCTCGTTCTTCATTGGCGCGCGATGCAAGGCCTACAACGATGACTACATGATGTGCAAGACCGAGGCCAACGGCCGGGGAGAGTTCGACTGCATGAAGGAAGGCCGCAAGGTCACCAGGTGTGCGGCTAGCGTGTACGTACTGGCGGAAGGTCTAATACAAGACGCTGGATATTGACAGCTGTGACAGTATCAAGGACATCAACGAGAACTGCCTGGAACAGTTCCGCACCCACTGGCAATGCCTAGAGAACCACAACCAGCAACTGTGGAACTGCCGGTCAGAAGAGCGCAAGCTCAACAAGTGTGTATTCGAGAAGTTGGTATGTCGCGAGTATCCTTGTACCTTACGTCTTTCGCTAACACCACCTCAGAAATTGGAGAAGACGATACCAGATGCGCCAAAGGGCGAGACCCCAGTCCACCTGCGCACACGCAACATCTTTGCGACCC